GGGACACCACCGCGACCAGCATGAAGAAAGGAGGGGGACTTGCCGTGCTCATAAACAACAGGTGGTGTAACGCCGGGCACGTCTGTGTGAAAGAGCAACCCGGACATCGAGCTCGTCACCGTCGGACTTCGTCCATTTTATCTGCCACGGGACACTGTCTATATTCCTCACAGGGGTCTTCATCATATCATCATCATCATCATCATCATCATCATCATCATCACTGTTTACATTCCTCCGTCTGGGAAAGCAGAAGCAGCGTGTGACGTCATCAGCACTGTGACTGCAGGACTACAAACGAAACACCCGGAGGCCTTCATCATCATCACAGGGGACGTCAACCACGTTTCTCTCTCGTCCACACTCCCAACCTTCCACCAGTTTGTCACATGAACCACCAGAGACAATAAGACCTTGGATCTGCTGTATGCAAATGTTCCTGTTTTTTATATCTGTATTTATTTCACTCAAATGTTGCTGTGACAAGTGAATTTCCCCATTGTGGGATTAATAAAGTTACCTACCTACCTACCTACCTACCTACCTACCTACCCACCCACCCACCTACCTACCTACCTACCTACCTACCTACCTACCTACCTACCTACAGGGGGGAGGGGATCAGGCCGTGAGTGCAGAGCCGTATATAGAGGCGGCTCTGGTGAGTGGTATTTACGATAAATACAAGTACTCCGCAGCGACTCTAGGGGTAGCTGTTTGACAAAATCGGAAAACTGCATAGTATGCCTTTAAAAGCTCTAATACTCTATAATAATTTCCAAATTACATAATTTTCTCTAAGAAACTTTTTGAAAATATATTGAAAATTCCTGGGAAAAAATATAACTAAACTGTTGTACTTAAGTATATCTTTTCCAGACTCCTATACTTTCTGTACCATGCATTTTTCTCCACTGATATTTTTAGCCATGCTAGCAGTGAGGATACATGGATGCACTGCCGGTGAGGTGGTCCACCACTTTGTTCCTGACAGAAATATCTCAACAACTATGCTTGGTTGATGTCATTAAGTTAAGTACAGACACTCATCTTGCCCAGAGGTGAAACCCACTGACTTTCCTGATCCTCTGACATTTCCTCAAGTGTAACCATCAGGTCAAAATGTTAATTTGCCCAATATTTTTGTTCATGATCAAATCCCATCAGCCTCAGCTGTCGTTTCTGTTCAGTGATAATTAGCAAATGTATAACACCGTAAAGTAAGATGGTGAATATGGTATTACATTATACCTCTGAGCATGACATTGACATTAAAATTTCACTCTATATGTATCTGAAAGATTTCTAACCAACTTTGGTCTTAAAGTGTACCAATTCACACAAACTAAAATTATGGCACAAAAATGCTAAGTCTAATTATTTGTGCTCTGTAGTCTATTACTTTATTTTCACACCAGCAGCAATGACGATATTTCGTTTTTCCTGCTTCTTAACCAAAGAAAATTAATGTTCTGGTTTCAGCCAATCTAGGTGAGGTTACGAGAGGATAGTGAGTTTGAGTGACTGGCAGTGTGGTTGAGGTCGGAATATAATATGTTCTAAATCTTTAGTATATGGGTGAAAAAGAAGGCTCTTTCATGTTCCTGTCATTCACCACCGGCTCCTTGGTTCTTTGAATATCTCACATGTGAAGTCAGACTTAGTGTAGATAGATACCTTCAGTCTTTCTTGGAATTAGTTTTACCTTTTCACACTCTCTTTGCTGCAGTAATCTTTAAAAACTTCTAGCTCCAGTTCTATCTCCTTAGAAAAAGTGAAACGGCTCTGCTGTTTAAACAATGAAGGTCAGCCCAACAAGACGTGATTATTTTCAGCTGTGACTCTTGTTTCTTTTTCCCTCGGGATTTCCTGCGACAGTCATCTGGCGATTTGCTCCGTCTTTTCAAAACAAAACAGCCAATTAAGTTGGAACAGCTTACAGTCTGAGGTTGGCTTTTTCTGCAGCCTCTACTGTACTTTACTTCACTTCATGTCAGAAGCACAAAGTTCTTCTTTTAAAAACTCCACGGCTGCTCTCGTTTATCTGCCCCAGGGGCAACACTGCAGGTACAATGTTTCTAACTTCAAGTATGTTTTTAGCAGCAGAGTCTTCAGTGAGGACGAAGCAGAGAGTTTAATAATGTGATGAGGAGGAGACAAAGAGGTAACATCAACTTTTATTCCTTAACCTCGAAGGGAAACCAGCTGATTGCCGGAGCATGAATCATCAGGAAGCAGAACCAGCAGTCTTAACATTAAAGTCCATGAATAAAACTGTAATAAAGAAGAATACCATAAAATCAAACGATACTATTGGCATCATGTGAAAACATTTTGCCTCATTTTCTGCCAGCTTTCTCTTGAGCTGAAAAATCGAAGATGCTTTTAAACCTTTTAATATTAATGTATATTATTATATATACATGTTTTTCAGTCAGCCAAGGACCTAAAACACAGCCTCTTAGACCAACAGCGGCTCGTTTGATGACAGGGAATGCAGTACTGAGATGGTTTTCTTGCCGGGGTTGGCTCCTGGCACCCTCATGCATGGCTAACCAAGCTAAGGTAGCGCTTAGCTGCTTTAGCAACAAGCAAAGCTAACTTTCCACCAGGAGACTTTGGGCCCTATCTTGCCGATCTGAAGCGCAAGTATCAAACGCAAAACGCAAGTAGCTTTGTGGGCGGATCTCGGGCGCTGTTGCTATTATGCCGGCGGGATAAATGACTCTTGCGCCCGGCACAAATCTAAAATGGGTTGGTCTGAAGTAGCTACATTAGTCATAGGTGTGGTTTGGGCGTAACGAGCAATAAACCAATCAGAGCGTCATCTCACATTCCCTTTAAAAGCAGGCGTGCTTGTTCCATGGGGGATTGCTATTATAACGGCGGATTGGCCAGGCGCACGCCAGGAGCGGTTCACAGCCGAGGAGACCGACGTTCTCGTCAGGGCCTTAAAATACAGAGAAGTGACATTATTGACATGAAATAAATCCAAACAATGTAACGCAGCTTCGCAGGAAGAAGACCCTGGCCTCGGCAGCAGTGCGCACGGGCCGAGCAGTGCGCAAGGGCCAGCTGAGGAGGGAGCAGCGCAAACACCAAGGTGCAGAGGATCCAGACCCGCTACACGCCGGAGGACCACCCATTCCTGCAGCAAACCGGGTTTGACATGCTGGAGCGGGAGCTGTCCGGGATGCGGCAAAGTATTAATGCCGTCTTGACCGGGTGGCGATGTTGCTGCTGCCTCTCAGGCGCATCCCCTCAAGTCTGCGCCCTTAAAATAGCATCTGAATAAGCGCCACTGACTTTAGACTAGGTTTTTTCAGGTCTGTGGCGGAATTGTTTTCTGAAACAGCAAAATAGCACCAGGGAACATTTGCGCCAGAATACGCCTCCTCTTTTCGCTGAACCGCCCCCCGGAGTGTAAATTCATTCCCTAATTTAAGGACGTGCGTCAGTGGAGGGACAATTTCAATGTGCGTTGAGTGCAAAATAGGAATTATACAAGCGCCAGTGTACAAAGTCAATTGCGCTGAGTGCAAGATAGAGCCCATTAAGTCAAATCAACTGATCAGCCAGAAGGCATCAGAGGGTATACTATAAAACATTTTCTCATTAAAATATGATCAGTTTCACCCAAATCAGGTTATAAAATTGTGTTTTTGTACAGTAGCCTAATCAGCCCAGCCCCCAGCCTCCAGTTGCGTCATAAGAAAAAAAGCGAGAAAACCTTTCAAGTGTTTCATTGGAGGTACAATTAGTATACCTCAAGTGCAGGATGAGTCATCAACAACTTTTTATCGTTTTACAGGAAATGACAAACTCTAAAATACCATTACGAAAACCAGAGAATACCAACAAAATCGCTTTTTTGTAATTGTTGAGCTGGCATATCAGTGAGGTATAGTATGAGACATATGTGATAAAACAATTTCCTTAAGTGAACATGTTTTGCAGTCAATACTGCATGAAGGAATCATACAGTATCATTTGTGAGATGGCAGTGATAATGTGACAGTATTTAGTGTCTGGCAATATTAATAAACCCCCAACCTTTGTTTCAATGACTGGAGATGAAAGTTTAATGATCCCTGCAGTGACACGTCACAGCAGTGGAGTGCAGAACAAGATAAAGAGAGAAGATAATTAAAACATTAGAGCAGAGACATAATGAAGCACAGAGAAAAAGAAAATAGCAAAGATAAACAGGAGTGAGAATGATGCGTGTTCATTAAGAGATTTACAGATAGAAGCAGATTTGTTAATCTGTTCGCTGCCAGATGTTCACACAGCAGAACAAACATACCAGCAGTTACACAGGAAGGATAAATGTCAGCAGAGAAGTTTTCTGTTAACTTGTTCGACAGGAAGCTGCTAGTATGAAGCAGGAAGCCTCAGTTTACTTTAAATTCACCTGATAGTTTTAGCATCATATGTGGTATTGCTCTAGGGTTCTTCTCTCAGTCCAGACGTTTGGTCCAGACTGATATATCTCAACAGCTATTAAATGGATTTCCATGAAAATTTCTGGTCCCCAGAGGATGAATCGTCAACACTTTGGTGATCCCCTGACTTTTCATATAGTGCCAACAACAGATTGAATGTTTTGGTTTTTGGTTAAAACTCAACAACTATTGGAATGATTGCCAATAAATTAGGTACATTAATGTTCACTACAGGATATATATATAACTTTGGTGATGAGATCTTTTACTTTCACTGCTAAGAATCAAAAATAAACTTTGGCCCTCAACTTATGTCCATCATACAACTGAGCTTTCTGAGCAGTAGGCCTGCATCCTCACATTTCTGTGTGGCTGTAGAATCTAATGCCAGAATTTACACTACATGGTGCCGAGTTACAGCAAGAATTTATGACTTTATGATGAACTAATCTGACACAATGACAGTATGAAAACACAAAAATATCCTCTACGCTTATCCTTGTCTTTATTTCTAAATATGCACTCTTTCTCTTTCTCTCTTGCTCTCTCTCTCAGGTGGAGTTTGTATCGCTCAGTCTCTGAAGGTTCCTCGGGAGCCGAGACCCGGCGAGTTTGACAAGATCATCCTCCGTCTGCTGGAGACGCCCAACGCCCGCGCTGTCATCATGTTTGCAAACGAGGACGACATTCGGTAAAAACACGTACACACAGACACAGGTTTAATTTTGTAAAGTTTGACGACAAGAGATTGAATTGTATTTTTAGGCATGACGTGACAATGTTGGTCTGCCACTTTGGTCCTCAAACTTTTAGAAATGATTAGGCTCTCCAAGTACCACCATTATGACCAACATTAAAATACAGTAGCACAGGCCGACCACTATTAGCTATGGGCAGATAATGCAGATGAGGTTTATTCCTAATAAGAAATGTATTTATTGTTGCCTGAATGGAACTGGTTCAAGAACCAGAGCTAATTTGGCGGAAAAGGGGTTCTACTGGTCTGCACTCCTTTTCCTAATAGTTCCTGTTTGGCGCCGCGATCATAATCATGGATGTATGCATGCACTGCTTTCACGATTAAAAGAAAAAAATTACATTTCATAAAAATTTAATTTGACAATATTATGTTTTTAAATGAATTAATTTAATTAAAAATTATTATATTTCAGAGATTCCTCCTCATACCACTAGAAGCAGCTTGCGTACCACCAGTGGTCTATAGTCTACCATAGTTTTTCAGAACCAGTGGTTTAGACATTCATGTTCCCCAGAGGATGAAGCCTACTGACTTTGGTGATCCTCCAACTTTTCCTGTAGCACTTTCATGATTTGTGGTTTTCAGTGAAATGTCTCAAAAAGTATTGAATAGATTTGCACTGAATTTGGTTCATTTCTGTCTCGCTGAGGATGAATTTTAATCTCTTTAGGGATAATTTAATGTTCCCTCTATCCCATCATCAGGTTGTGTATCCAATACTTTGGTTCATGAGCAAATACCTAATGGCATTCCCATCAGCCTCAGCTGTAGGTCCCCAATAGGCAACAAAAACGTGTTCATTTTATTTTGTTAATTGAATGTTCTGCCTCTGAAGAATGAGAGCAGCTCAGAGACAGATGTTCAGCGGTGCAGTACACACACTGAGCCGAAGATCGAGTGAGAGGAAAACCAGATGTAGAGCCAGAGTATTTTCACATCTAAATATGGTAAATTAAGGGTTTATTTTGACTAGTTTGATGATGGAATACAGTTAAAAGGTGAGACGAGAAGCATGAAGCGGGTAGAGAGGCGATAGAGGTCGGGGAAACGTCAGCGCCTAGAGCCAAAATATTTTTATATCTAACTCTGTTAGATGGCTAATCACCAGATTTAGTGATTGTTCGGAATAAGAATTTGATATGAATTCAGAAGATGTGTGGCCGTATTTTTCTATAAATAGGTGTTTTTCTTTTCCTTTCTTGACATTTGGTGAGTTTATTTTCTTTATTAAAGCTATGAGATCTTGTTGGTTGGAAAATTTCTATGTATCGGCCAATACATGTATTCTGTGTCTGTACGTTCCTAATGTATTCAATCAGGAGGCTACACCCACCAAGTGTTGAGTAGAGATAAAGATAACAAGCTTCTGTTTATCTACGTGAACTGAGAGCATCACACACACACACTCGATATCACTCTAACAGCTGATGTTAATCTGCAGCGCTGTATTGCACAGAGAGGGAAATCACTAATTCTGAGACCTCATAGACACGGAGAAAGGTCAGAATGTAAAGGGCAAGCTTAGCATTTAGCTGAAACCTGAGAACTGATTCTCGGCTCTCATTGGCTATCTCAACTGTCTCACCTGTGACCCTCACAGGCGAATCTTGGATGCTGCGAAACGCAACAACCTGACAGGTCACTTCCTGTGGGTGGGCTCTGACAGCTGGGGCTCCAAGATCTCTCCAGTGGTCCAGCAGGAGCGGGTGGCCGAGGGCGCCGTCACCATCCTCCCCAAGAGGGCCTCTGTGGACGGTGAGACAGGAAATGTGACCATGGTCCTGAAGAAACTTTGAGGGAGATCAGCATTGTAAAAACAGTTTCCTTCTTTCCACAGCGTTTGACCGTTACTTCAAGAGCCGCTCCCTGTCCAATAATCGCAGGAATGTCTGGTTCGCTGAGTTTTGGGAGGAGAACTTTAGCTGCAAGCTGGGGATGCACGGCAAGAGACCCGGCAGCCCCAAGAAATGTACAGGTAAGAAATACAGGTGGAAACACAGTCAACAAGGTCAAAGGTCATTGTGGACCTCATTATACCAGGACAGCAAAAGCTTCTCTGCTCCCCCCTCCTGCCCTTCGTACCTCCTTTTCTCCCCTTTTCTTCTCTGGCTCATCCCTCCTTCCTCTATCTCCCCCTTTCCTTCTAAACATTCACTTTCCTTCCTTCTTTCCTCTTCTCCCTCTTTGCTTTTAGCTCCTCCTTCCTTCTTCTGTCTTCCATTTTTCTTTCCACATCATCCATCCTTACTCTATATCCCCCTTTCCTTCTCTACCTCCTTCTTTCGTCCTCAGATACCTCCTTTCCTTCTGTGGGTCAAACAGTCCCAGTTTCTTTAAAGCCCTTCTGAGGCTGATTTGTAGTCCTGGGCCACAAAATAAAACTGATTTCAATAAGTTCAACAGTTATTTTCCATCTTTTGTTCTCGAAAACTCTCTGCTGCATCCTGACACACACACACACACACACACACACACACAGCAACAACAAATTCATGGAGTCAGCAGCAACGGGAAGTAAACTGTGTTGAAGATACAGTTTGTGGAGCTTCTGCTCTTCATCATAGTTTTTTCCCTCTATTTGTATGTAGTTATGTGGTTGTTACTGTGGCACCTGTACATTTTAGTCCTTTTCTTCCATCCATCTTTTCACACCATCTCTCTTTCTTCTTTGTGTAAGGAGAATAAACAGGAGCTGTTGATAGGTTTATTTGTCAACCACAAAGTCTGGTCAGATCCGTGTCTGCTTTTTTTATTTCAAAAGGAAGTAGACATCACTCTTTGACAGCACGATAAAATAAACCTATAAACTTTTTGATATAAAATGGAGCTGTGTGATGAGCTCCGGAGGCTTTCTCTGCTCAGGACAGTTTTGTGGTTGTGTTCCTGTAAAAAAGAAAGTTAGTTTTTTAATAATTCTGTAAAAATCAGCTGCAGCACATTCAGCAGGGTTGTAGATAAATTATCACTGACAGTGAAGGTGGAGCAGCCAACAGACCAAACCTGGTGAATCAGCATTTATTTTGTTTGTTATTATTAGAAACTTCCAGGAGATCTGCGACTGAAGTTACTTTACAATTCAAAAGTTTTTCGAACAAATATCACATTTTCTGAAAAATTTTTGCGGCCTGGGGTGATGTTGGACCGTCTATTTAACACAACAGGACCAGGATTAATTCCTGCCTGGTACAACACATAGTCCCAGCCCCAAGTCTACCCTCTGATCCCTCAGGACTCATCGGTTTGTTCCAACTTTCAACCACCTTACTCTGTCTTTCTTTCTGTGCATTCTGATTGTGATTGTTTGCTATAAATCAAACTCAAGATCTGTACTGATTGTGTGCATAATGTTAAACAAGATATGTTTGTATCGGGGCACCCTGGTACCTCAGTTGTTGAGGAACATATATAGTTAGATTTTGGTTGAGGACCTTTGTTCCATGTCATATCCTTGTCTCTCCCCATGTTTCCTGTGCCAGGAAAATAATCTTAGAAAGATACATTATATCAAACATAATCACATTGTTGCAACATTGTTCTTTTTGCATAGTCAATTTCATCCTGTCAACATCACAGCTTCATTAATGGAGAAAAAAACAGATTTCATCATTATTACTGCCAACTGAAACAGTGACTGTGAGCCAGCCTGTATCACTCAGCATTAGTGTTGGACCTCACTAATGCTATTGTGTCTGAATGGGATCAAATTCCTACGGCCAGGTTCAACATCCAGTGGTGAAACCAGAAGAGTAGAGCCTAGTATAACAACAGATTAAGGCTTATCAGTTTGAAATTGACCGTTGTAGTTGTGTTCAGGGCCCTAAAAACAGCCCTGTTAAAACAGAAAGAATGAAAATGACATCATCTGGATTTCAGCAAACAAAAATAATCAGAGGTCATACTTTCTTGTAACCACTGTGAGATACAAATCTACAGAACCTGAGAGACCTTCAGTATGTTATTTCATCATGGTAGTCCAGGATCTCATCCACGTTGGAGGGTCTGTAACTGAGTCTGCTGTCTCTTTGGACTACTTCAGCACTCAACCTCTCCTCCATTTATATTCATGAGCTGGATTTCTGACTTGCACTTGCTGCCAATTAACATGCTGGATAATCATTTTGGGGCCCGAGCTCTCGACCTCGTGATACGGAGCGCCTCTGACATCCTCCGTCTGTAATTAATCCGGCATTCACGAGTGTAACAATGAATATGAAAAAGTGTTTGTAGTTTAACTCACAGCTCTCATCTGACACTGATGAATAATGTCCTAATTTATGGACACCTTATGGAATACAATCAGCTGGAAGAGAAGAAGGCCAATCTATTGGATATTCAAGGAAACCTTAAAGGAATAGTAATGTACTGTACCACCTTTATCATGATCATTCTACAGAGTGAGCAGAAATAAAAAAAAACTATGCTAATACTTGCTGGTGGTCCGAACACCCACTCTCTGTGATGAATAACTGGGCTGGTTCCTTTGGTGAGTCAAATGAAAACTTGTTTGAACCCAACCCATGTAGCCTAATTATAATGGTATTTTGTACAATGGACACTATATTTCAGATTTGTCATAGTAACTTTACTGTATGGCAAATGTATTTTAAAGTTAGCAAACATCCTCACTTTTATTCTTAATTTTTGTATCTATAGTGTTGAATCCAAAATGCTTCCTCACATTACAACCGTTAAGGACCAGTGTGTAGGATTTAGCGGTATCTAGCTGTGAAATTGCAGACGGCAACCCACTGAATACCTTCCAAGTGTGTAGGAGAAACTACGGTGGCTGTTAAAGTAGCTGGGCTATTGTAGAAACATGGCGGTTCAACGTGGCAGCCTGTGTAGAAGAGGAACCGCTCCCTCTGTAATTCTAAGTTAACAAAAACACAATGATTCTTGTTTTTAGGTGTTTATACACCAATGAAAACATATCTATGAATATTATATTCAATTTCTGACAATAGATCCTCCTAAATGTTACTCACTGGACGTCATTATTTTCCATCTTCCTTGTTTCCATTAACAAAGAGAACAGTCTAGTTTACTGATACAATAATAGGTCATCAATAAATAAGAGTGATGGTCTGTTTCATATATAAACTGTGAATATTGAATTCAAATTGATCTTTACAGACCCAATATTACACATTGGAGTACACTGGGCGTGGGTTCTGATGATGGTTAGATGTGCAGATGAGTCCTTGAGTTATTTAAGTGTTGTTGCCCAAACTTCTGTTTTTTAAAAGAACATTTTAAAAGATTTTTATTTCTGAACAGTAACCCTGCAGAAAGTAACCATGTATTCAGGCCTCACCTGGAAAGCAGATGTACAGATGTAAATTGGAAGCTAAAAAAATTCTATTCTCCTCTACAGTCACGTCCAGCTGCTGAGTCTCTCCATGCTGACTGCAGAGACCCTGCAGCAGCATGTAATCCTCCCTGATTCAGGAAGACTTTCTCTGTAAAACAGGGGGCCACTGACGGCCAAATCCTTTACAAACATGTCCGACACGCAAAACGGGATTTGTGGAAGGTGTTGGGTAAACACAGGCGAGTGTGCAGACAGAAGTGAAACAACAGAACAACAACGTCAGCGCTCTGAGAATAGCTGCTCTGTCCCAGCTGCTGATAACGCTGTGAGTCTGTACCTGAGCTCAGTGGACAGCTTTGATCAGTCTTCTGCTGTCAGGACGCAGCTCTCAACTGATTGTGTTAGAGACTCCAGATTGAGTTTTGGAGCTGCAGCAGAGTTATCACACAAACAGACAAACAGCTGATTCAGCAGGTCAGTGTCCACCTATGTGTGTTTGTGTGTGAATGTGAGCGCAAAGAGGAACGTTTGAGTCCTTGCAGTATGCTTCGTTCAGGCTCAGAGGGCTGAAAGGCTGCAGGTGTGCATGTGTGTGTCTGCCTGGGTGCATCACAGTGTGTGTTTGTGTCATGTTGTGACACTGTAATGGACCAGTTTCTATAGAAATTGATATATCAAAATCTATTTTCATTTACATAAAGATTATAAAGATGCAAATACGGTACAGTATGTTACTGTACAGGAGTGGAGCGCAAGAAAAGAAACACCACAGAAATATTTGAAAGGACAAATGATTTTTATGCTGGATTTTCACCTGCATGCCTCAATAAAATGAAATGTGTTTTTTTAATGACAGAGAAAGCATTTAAAAAAAGAATGGTTTAACGTTTTGAAAGATGTTTTTACATCTTACTTTGCAGCACAAAGTTAGATTAAAAAATGTTTACCACTCCAATATCTGTCTGTTACACATAATGCTACAGCCGGCCACTGGTTAGCTCAGTTTAACTCAAAGAAGGGAAACAGACGGCCAGTCCACCTACCAGTCTGCATGGGGGTTATGTGCCGGACTGTTTCTTGGCTCTGAGCAGTTGCCAGGCAACCAGCATACTCTGGGATGTTACTTGTTGCTGTAGAGAAACAGAGCCGCACATAATCCCTCGTGTAATGGCAAATTGTCATTTCAGCATTTATATTTTTGTCCAGATTACACAAACAAGATTTAATGTCTACATTTTTTTTTTGCAGCACAGTTTCCCCAATTCTTTCCATGAGCCACACACAGTTCTCAGAAAAAATAGACAGTGAAAAGGGTCTGTTCATAGTCATATCGACATCATACCAGCAACAAATACATCTTTCACTACAGTTTCACTGTCCATGAAAAATTATTGGGAAAAAAATTCAACTCAACACCTCTGTATCCATTTCAGATTAAAGGCCCTCTAGAGTTTCTGTGGACAGAATCCATTCATATTTTTTCAACAAGGCTTTTATTGTATTGTATTTATCAAAGCAGAAGCAGAAATGCTCTCTGTGTGGAGATCACAGGTGTGCGAGCCACAGCAGTTCAGTGAGACAGACATAGGAGAAGTACTCTCCTCCAGAAAGTGACTTAGCACATTTCCTTTCACTTTAAGTCTGCCACACAAGATCTTAACTTT